GTTTTCTCAAATCCTTTGTTCTGGTAAGGCAACACAAAGAAAACAGTATGTATCAGAGGAATGCACATACTGCAAAAGATCAGGGTTTTAATACCCACCCACATACTCGCAACAAACAATTAAAGAAGATACTCTCTTTTACAGTGCAAACACACACACATGCACTTATAGAGATTTGGAGGGACACAGATTAATGCCATTCAAATCTTTGCCTTTGCAGTGTAGTCAACTGAAAAGAAGCAAGGGCTTTCATTTGTTGCTTTTGATTTGTTGTGCACACACACACACACACACACACACACACACACACACACACATATAGAGAAACACTGAAAGAGAAGGAAGAAGTATATTGATAAAACTGCAGATCCTGTCTATTGTCAGCAGGCCTCTGATGCGGTTCACCGGACAGTTCAAGTCTGAATTTATTTACTCGCCATATGCTTTTATGCATAACTTTAAGGTAGATTTTATCAGTGCATATATCAGTTCCCTATAAGATTTGAACCTGATGACCTTAGAGTCGGTGCTATGCATTTTTCAAAATAAATGTTCCAAAAAGATGTTTTTGCATTTAAAATAACCATTTTTTCACTATAAAGAACCTTATATGCAATGCAAGAGAACGTTTATTTTTAAGAGTGCATCTTTCAGTGCATACTTAACTGCAGAGATGTATCTTACTCACTTATTATCCGACTATTATTGCATTTCCTGCTCTAATTTTGTGGGAATATCTATAATTGTGTATTAAATGTTGCAAGTGAGAGTATTGCACTCATTTTGAAAGCTGAAAGCATAATAAAACGAGCCAAAATGTGTAGACGTGTAGAAGTTTGTGAATGACGGGCGTTGCAATTCTGCTAAAACTTCTACGGGTGCAGTATCTGCGTGGGCCCACGCGTTGCATCTCAGCAAAGCTCGGACAAAAAGAGCTTCACAGCGGTTTTCTCTCCCTGTCGCTTTAACTCTATTAATTGTTGATATGTCGCAATCCACGAGGCAGAAATTAGAGGGCTAATTATTCGATCATGTGATGCTGCCCCACTGCAGTGGCAGAAAAGTAATTTCCCGGGCCTTGAAACTGATCTCACTTGATCGTTAGATGACGGATTTGTTTTATAATTCGATAAAAGCAGGGAATAAACCAGCGATGAGCCGATAAAGAGCCTCTCTCGTGTGCTTGGAGGGAGTAATTGTTTTTTAAATAATTAATACGGATTCCTGAGGGAGTTTCAAAGAGCAGGATCTTTTTGTTGTCATTCGGCTGTACTTAAGCTCTCGTACCCTTTCACTGATTTAAAAGTCTCGCACACTTTATTTGGCAGGTGTTCAGATGCAAGCAAGCCACAGGGGGACTTTTACAGTGCACACTAGAGGTTCAACAGCACAGTGTGCAGAACACAGAAATGACTGTTCACTGTGCTGTATTGGTTTATGTCACTGCATGCATTTATAAAACGATTAAATAATTAGTCGTAACACAAAAAGTTATGAAGTTAGACTCCCCTCATGCACATAAGTCTATTACTGCAGGTTATTTTTATTATTTAATACACTTACAAGTCATATGAGTCATGCACAGTCAACTGCAAACTACTGTTTTAATGTGCTCGAGTAACACAGCTCCACTATTCTGTCTTAAAAATGTGCCAGCCACCAATATTTCGAGACTGTAATGAGTTCCACGTTTTTGTGTTTCCAGGAAATGTTTGTTTTGAATGCATCTAATGGAGATTTGTATACTGCCCATTTGCCTCCGCATTGATTCAGAGTCTCTGTTCGGTATGTGGTGGGCACTGATGACTCTACCCCATGCTGTTTGTGTTATCAAACTGCCGAGATGCTCTTGGCTCTGATTTATAACACTACCTCAAATAATCTTGTTAATGCACATTTAACATTGCGGAAGTGGCAAGCACATAGACTAAACAACACCTACGCGTGCGAGCAGTCAGAATAGTATTGGTGAAATGTGCCGAGTGATAAACTGCCTCCAGTGCAGCTAAAAAGAGGAAGACCGTACTGTCTTGTTGTCATATAGGGGTTTCTAACTTTGGATGTACACTTACACATATTGTGACACTATTCCGGGGGAAACCGGATGATCTTGGAAAAAGGCAAAATAAGCAATGCAACATCTTTAGGATGCTAAAAATGGGGGGACATGTTAAAATGCTATTTTTTTCAAGTATTAGAAGTGTTGAATTAATTGTGAATTTTTTTTTTGACTCACTTCATTTTTTACTTTTTTTTTTGTTAGAATTGTGAATTAATTTTACAAATTCAAATGTAGTCAAAATTAAAAACTACATTTTGTTAATTGTTTCCTTTTTTTTGGCAGAAAAACCCTGTTAAATTATGTGATTTATATATGACCAATGTTTTTTTTTTTTCATATTTCATCAAATTCTCAGATATTCAAGGATAAACATTATGTTCATGGAAAAAGGCAAAATAAACAATGCAACATCTTCAGGATGCTAAAAAATTGGAAAAATGGTTAAAGTCCAGTTTTTGCAATTAAACTTTATTTATTTATTGCAGTTTTTTTATATTAATTGAAAAAAATCTAATGTAGTCAAAATTAAAATAGCATTTTGTTAACTCTTTCTTTTCTTTTTTTCATTTGAAAATGTTGAATACCCAAATTTGAATACCCAGAAATTCTTAGATAAAACATTTTATTTGATTAGTATGACTAAATAAACTCTTTCACCAATAAAAGTGTCAGATGAGGCAGTACAGTACATTTTTGTAGTGTTTGTGCAATGCTTTTGTTCTGCATTATGCATTTGTGTATTTGTTTATAATTGTTTTAATAAAATCACTATAATATCAGTGTTCATTATTGTTTGCTGTGAGCGTGCTACAAATATTGGCATTTTCAACTCTTCAGTTGTGGTCAGTACCCTTTTTTAAATAGGCGAGAGCTGAATTATAAGCACAGTTGATCAAACCATTTCTGCTCTGTGAATCTGCATGCTCTTCTGTATGTCGGATTTGGTGTTGTTGGGCAGTGTGTGTGTGTGTGCCAGGGCTCTTGGCAGTGTCTGCACCTGTTGGCAGCATCAGGATCTTCCTGGCAAGGCCAGCAGAGATTGTGTGATGCTCTTGTACGAGTGCAGAGGAAACTGCAGCACGTCAACATGGCGGCCACGCTCTGCTTACCACTGCTCTCGGTCCGCATTTCCAATTTACGGTGGAAATAAAAGTGGACCAATGCAACTACACAGTCCATTTGCGATTTTGGAATTGACATTTAGAGCCACTGATGGATTGTGGGAGCAGAAATGCACCAGATAAAACCGTGCTATGTCATATTATTTACTATGACTGAATCAACTTTGCTAGATTTGAACAGTCAGATCTGATTGAAATCGTTTAAGTTTAAGAATTTGCATTGAAATACTGAATGTGTCTTGTGTAAAAGAGCCACTGCAGCAAATGTTTTGATATAAAGTTGGCTATATTAGTTTTGGCCTAATCTAGAGCATTGCTGTAGCTGCTGCGCCACCCAATGTGTTGCACAAGGACTAACATCTCAGCAAAAACAAGCTCCGTGCAAATTCACTTCAATGCCGGAAACGTGCTTAGCGCTGTACGAATGGCATATCGGATATGTTGGATTCATATGTAAAATTAAACAAATAAACTAACACCCAATCATTTACCTGTGTTGAATTGATTAACGTATTTTGCAACCCCTTAACATGCATCCACCTTTTTTGGTCATCGCTCTTCTTTTACATTTCCTGTTTAACAGCAGTGATACTTAGTGTTCTAGATCAGCACCTCTGCTGATTTCATATAGCTTCATCACCTTCAGTTTCATGTCTATACATGTTACACACCCTGCTTTTAAAAAAATATATTTCACTGTCTTCACTATAATTAATTATTGGGCCCATTAGTCATTATAATTGTTGATTCTGGCATTGGTCTATCTATCTATCTATCTATCTATCTATATAATTTGATATTACTGGTATACTTATTTATTAGATACATTCAATATATTCAATACAAGTCATGCTGAAATCATGAACACAGTATAGTAAATACAGATCTTTGAAAGTAATTTGAACCAATCAGGATGTGGCATTACTTCCAAACCCCCAAGGGTGATTACATTTGACCCTTTTTACACATATTTCTGCATGACTGTCGTCTTTACATGTCAATGTGTTTTTATGTATGATAACATACGTTCCAGTGTGGATAGCATAATGCCTCTGCAATTATTATTTTCTTTTATTGCAGTGGGGATTATTTTAAAATCAAACAAGATTGGGAATTATTTCATTCCTGTTTTGATGTAAAAAATAATTAGGAGTTTTAGTTTATTAATTCATGCATCAAATTGTAAGTCTTTTTTTTTATACCATTTTATAAAAAGCACGTTTTTACTTTTTACTGCATATTCTTTTTGAAATAATCACTTTGTAAACATTTTTTTCTACTCTTGTGCATTAATTTATTATTGTATCATATTTGCAGAAATTAGATCTCGTGTGTGTGTGTGTGTGTGTGTGTGTGTGTGTGTGTGTGTTCAGGGTTGGTCGTTTGCTGTCACCTGCACATATGTGTGTGTGTCATGCACCAGCATCACTGACAGATGGCGTGTCCTTTTGCTACAAGAAATATTGTACTCTTGAGGCTTTTTTTGCAACTTTTAAAAACAGAACCGCGTCAAAAACCCCTCTATAATACCATCACACTCGTTCATACGATAATTCGTTTGCTTCCTTCCCCCGATTCTGCTGATCAACTCATCATTAACATCTCAACACACACCATCGGGATCAAAATGCACACGCTCGCAAATAAAGATCGTTTATTTTGTAACAAAAATGCAAAGTGATTTTATTGTGCTATTCGCTGCGTGTGCATCATGTAGGCTGTGTGTGTGTGTGTGTGTGTGTGTGTACAGGATGTGTGTGTAGATTCAGTAATAAATGCAGAACCGCCTCACTCTAATCAAGCTGATTAAAAATTCCTGCGCGCGTGCAGGCGGAAATCCACCATCATCATCATCATCATCATCATCCTCGTTCTCCGGCACTTTTACTTTATTTTCGCGTTCATCCTCCTCCAGGACAGCGACAGACGCGGGAGGACCCGAAATCCGTCTTAAATCGCGTCGTCTAGGAGGTTTAGAGATGAGGAGAAGCGGCAGGCAGCGCGGAGAGGGAGGGATGAGCCGATGCAACTCATAATTTAATGGGGACAGAGAGAGAGAGAGAGAGAGAGAGAGAGAGAGAGGCAGAAGGGAAACAGAAAGAAAAGGACCGAGCGCGAATGTTACAAATGTAACAAGCGGAAGATACAATGTAGCGCTGACGTGCGTCAGGAATGTTCGGATGCTTTGATGTTTCATTCGACGTTCGAAAGTGTATCGCGCACTTTTAAAGCTGCTTCGGATCCGCAGATCGGCTCGAGATGAGACGGCAGGTCGCTGGGGCTTCGTGCTGTTGTTTGGCCAGATGAGAGGCGATTCACGAGCGCTTCTGGTCCTATAGGCGCGTATTGTTGAAGCTCAATGGGATGTGTAGGGGACGCTGGCGGTTACTTTTATTTTTAAGCGTTATTCTGCGCACAGAACGGACGGTGGATGTGATCGTAAACTCTATTGAACTCTAGACTTACCGGAGATCGTTGCATTTCGGCTTGATTGCATGCGTCTACGGTCTTTAGCTCTCATCACATTTTAAAGTACTTTGCGCTTCGTCTATATGGTTCTACATGTATTATGCGCTGTGAGTCACGGCTTAGCGTTTGATATTCGGTTTTGGTGTGGACGATCTGGAAGTTTTCTGTTTTAGAATAGAATAGCTGACATACAACTGATATTCGAGTGAAGTTTGTGCTCCTCCTGCCAAAACTTGAAGTCGCTGTCCATCCACAGCTCCTTTATATGCTCGTCTTAAAGTGGTGAGTTCAAGCTTGTTATTTTTTTTTTGTTTCTTTGTTTTATTGAATTGTTTTAATTATTTGTGAATGTTCTCTTATTTTTTACATCTAAAAAATATATATATTTTGTATGCACACTATACATTTTTAATAATTTAATTCTATTATTTTCACCTAAAATGTAATATAACATATATATATATATATATATATATATATATATATATATTACACCTGAATCAACCTGTATTAGGTTACAACAATGGATTTTAAGGCTCAGGAGAAGTAGAAATATGTTTTTAATATATGTTTTTACTATTAAAGTGTTTGCATGCACACACAAGTTCATCTTTTTTTTTATCTATATCCTCTATACCTGTTATATTGGTTTTTAAACAAACAAAGTCACATAAGTTCATCTGGTGTTCAGTGCTGTGGAATTCATTGTTGCATGTCTGATGTCTTGTTTGGCCTGTTTGATGAAATCTAACCCTGTCTGTCATGGTGTCTGGTGGAATGTTCCTTTATCGCTGCGAATGCAATGTTGAGACAAGTTGCATGTCCCTTTTCCGGAAATCTTAGATAATCCGAGGCCTTTCTTTTGTTTTGGCATTTAGGGAAACACTTTTTGGGTGTTGTTAAATACAAGTAGTTGCAACCAAAAATCTTCACACTTTGTTTTACATGCGCGTCTTCGCTTCAATGAGGAATTCAGGGTCTTTCAGTTTTATACCAAGAGATCTGATCCGCTAAATATTTCACAGCCTGTCTCTTGTATGGAAGGGTTCATTGTACGGTGCGCTGATCACTGAACTCCTCTGCACATTAATGCGACCGTACAAAAACTAGCTTGTTTGCTCTCCACATGGGATTATGCAGTGGGTTAGACATACATAATACATGCTCTTAGAAATGGGAATGTGATCGTTGCATGAAACATTGTAAATGCCATGTAACATTAGGCTTGATTTGACATTTCAGTCTACATGGAAGAGACAGAGTTTATGTTGCAATTTCATCGTTTTTTAGGTTCAGTGATCTTTATAAACTTTTCCCCCCAATTATAATGTTTATTTTATGGCACTTGATTTTCCAGCCGTCCTAATGCCACTGTTCTTCTATATTTTTCGCTTCAGGTGACAGTGAGCAGTGGTGCTGAGAACCATGGAGCATCTCAGCGAAACATGCCAAGGGAAGGAGAACTGTGAGATGGTCAATAATCTGAATGACACCAAGGCCCCTCCAGCCAAAATGGCCCGCCTGGAACAGAACGGAAGCCCGCTGGGCAGGTCTCGTCTAGGTAGCACTGGAGCGAAACTCTCCGGAGTGCACTTCAAACCCCCTGGACATCATCTGATGGCCTGCCACAAGAGGGGTGAGTTTGCTTTTTCTTACCACTGCACTCTTAAAAATAAAGGCATTGATGGTTTCATGAAGAATCTATGGAACACTCTTAAAAATAAAGGTTCCAAAATAGAGTTTTCACAGTGGTGCAATAGAAGAACCATTATTTGTTCCCCAAAGAACCTTTCAGTCAACAGTTCTTAAAAGAACCATTTTTTTTCATAGTGTGAAGAACATTTTAAATATCTAAAGAATGTTTTTTTCACTCTAAATAACTTTGTGCATTTGAAATGTTCCATGGATATTAAAGGTTCTTCATGGAACCATCAATGCCAATAAAGATCCTTTAATTTTAAGAGTGAACCTTTCCACAATTCCACAAAAGGTTCCTTATAGTGTAAATAGGTCCTTAAAATATTCTTCACAATAAGAAAAAATGGTTCTTTTAAGAACAGCTCAACCGAAAGGTTCTTTGGGGAACCAAAATGATTCTTCCACTGCGTTGCTAGAAAACCCCCTTTTGGACCCTTTATTTTTAAGCGTGTGTATCAATGATGGAATTGATTTTAGTGAGAAATCTGTCCATCCAAATTAGGACCAATGATATTTCACAGTGGGTGTGGCTACAGGATGTTTCATGACTCAGAAACCCAAGTGACCAACCAAATGTCCCATTTTATGTTGTGGCCATGGATGGCTAGGACCCTTATATCATGCACAAATATTATGTGAAGTAGTTTGCACATTTTATATATTTGTTGCATAGCTATGCCACTAGCAGCATTTCTAAGAGTACGTTTAGTAGTTATTGTAAGCACATTTGTATAGTTTTTTTTTTTTTAAGAAAACCGTCACTTTAGTACTTTGTCTACTGCTTTGGTATGTCACAAAAAAAAAACTTAGTAAATGAATCCTGATTACTTTTTTTGGTTGCTGATTTGATGTTTTAGAGCATTGCTATTTATTTTGGCATATTTTTGCTGTGGAATTATTTAAAGAAAAAAACAATAATAATAATACAAAAATAAATAAAAATAAATATATATATGTGTATACATATACATAAATATTTATGTATATGTATACACACACACACACACACACACACACACACACACATATATATATATATATATATATATATATTTATTTATCTGCAGTGTGCGATTAAAGGGAAAATGCTTTAGCTACAACAACTAGTGTCAGTTCTTCATGTACCCCGGCTGCATTCTATAGCTCTCTGGGTAACTGTTATTATTATTTATGGGAAAAGTGAACTTTTGCTGAGTGCTTGCTGAACTTTGGAAGCTACTGTATTCATTGTTTCAGCTGAATAATACTTACCATGGGCTTTTCTCAGCTCTCTGGGAACAAAGCGTGTATTGATCCTGAAATGAACCGACACAGCAGTCTTTATTGTTAGATCTTTATCTATTAAAAATGGAAAAGCTTCGATTCAGCACATTCCCTGGCATCTGCTTATGATTACCCTATTTATTGATTGTTTTCCAGAAAATGGTCGCATTCTTAGGAAAATATGATTTATTACGATTGCCCCGGATAGACGGCGTTGATATTACCCCCAGCCTCTATTAAACCCTGTAAAAATAAAGATCCTGGGTCCAAGAGATCATGAAGTTCCTGAAATTTCATCACCGGAGTGTTGCAGCTGGCTGGTATTATGTGATATTTGCACAGTAAACCCGAACACATGACAGTTTTGGATGGAGATTCTTCTTTTTTTTTCCCTGATAGCAGCACGCTGTTTACACAGACTCATAAACCTCAAGGCTATACGGTGCATTGGGAGCCGCTGCACGGCATCATGGGAAGGGTACTGGGATCTGCCTAAAGAAGTATTCTAATGTGATTTGAGCACCGTAACAATAAATAAAGCGCTAAACCCGTGATGAGCTCTAACCTTTTAGTGTGCTAACACGTTTAAATAGTTGTCATAGTCATTGACGTCATCTCCGCTTGTTCTGTATTGTGATCTAATTATGCATGTTACAATGCTGCTTTATTGTAACACTGTTACAGTGGATGATAATCAATTGATAACACAGCCTTGCATGAAAAAATAGTTTCAGCTGATTGAGAATTCTAAAATTAAGAATGAAGATTCAAATTTAACTTTACATGCGAAGTACTTTAGTACTGTTAAAATGTTTTTTTTTTAAGAAATTAATACATTTATTCAGCAAAGATGCCTTAAATTGATCAAAAGTGACAAATACCTTTATAATGTTACAAAAGATTTCTGTTTCAAATAAATGCTGTTTATAAAAGTTTCAGTTTTAATGACAGAAGTAATCAAAATGTATCATTCAACTTTCAATCTGCAAACAAGTGGGAAAAGATGTTCAAATACTCCATTGAATGTCAGTTTTACATTAGCTTATTTATTCAGTTAATGAATCAATAAGCTTTTTCACAAAAACTGTAATTTTCTGTCGGTGTTTGGATGTAGTAAAACACCCGCAGATGTAGCAGAAAATATCTGTCGTATGTTTGTATCTTCTTCCATCACTGGCCATAATTCTAACCTTGAAATCAGGATTAGGCATAAAATAATGTCACACATGTGAAAATGGACTGAGAATTGAACAAAGAGTTGTAAATTATGGGAATTGTGTCTTTGTGGCTGTTTTTCTGCTGATTAAGGGATAACAGAAGACTTCTTCACTTTACAAATGCTTGTCAAAAGCAAAAATACTACAAAATGCATCGTTTTGTAAGAAAAATATGACGTGATAGAGAAAAACGGGTACTATTTTTGGAATCAGCACCCCCACAATTCATATAAGGTGGTGTTATTGGAGGTTGCATGCAAAGGCAAATGTCATTCTTCCTATTGCTTATGCTTAGGGTTCAAGGTTTTTCAAAATTTACACCCTAACAACCACATAGCAACATGCTATCATTAAAGGGGTGGTTCATTGCGATTTAACTTTTTTAACGTTAGTTAGTGTCTAATGTTGCTGTTTGAGCATAAACAGTCTGCAAAGTTACGAAGCTGAAAGTTCAATGCAAACGGAGATTTCGTCTTTTAAAATTCTGGCAGTTTAATGCCTACAAAAACGGCTGGTAGGGACTACAACGAGTTACTTCCCGGGTTTGTGACGTAACAAACCCAGATAAACCCCGCCCTCGGGAAAAGGCAGCAAAGGGGGCGAGGCCATGCTGCGCTGCTTTAGAGAAGAGGAAGAGAAAACTAGAGGTGCACATAAAAATCTATACATATATGAATCACGATTCTGTCTTCTGACGATTCTAATGGATTCACAAGTTTCAAAATCAATGTTCTAAAGCAGCGGTTCTTAACCTGTTATACTGTTCCTCGCATCCCCCTGCTCCTCTCTCTCGCTCTCTCTCTCTCTATCGCTCAGCTCAGCTCCAACAATGAACTGTTCCAATTATACACTTATTTTCACATAGCTATGGGAAGCGTTAAACATGGACGAGCGTGCAGTTGCCGTACTTTATTAAAGCTTTAATCAGGATAAAACCGTATATTAAAAGCTAACATAAGCAGTAGCATTTACAAATAACAGCGTATCTAAAAGTATGAGACAACAACAAACAAACATAGGCCTACCATTAAAAGCCATGCTTGCACAGGTTTTGCACGATCCTCTTCAATAATATCCTCTGCTTCTCAATTGGGCTCAAACTGATAAGCGATATTAACGACGCCGTTGTTTACAATACAACCAGAGCACATGCCGCCGAGGTGAGGGGCGGGACGATTAGACACGCACTAGAGGCAAAGCCATGCTTGCACAGGTTCTGCACGATCCTCTTCAATAATATCCAATCACAACACACTGGGCTAGCTAACCAATCAGAGCCCATCGCCTATTTCTGAGGGAGGGGCTTCATACAAGAAGGAAATGATCAGCCCGTTTCTCAGAGAAGAGACAGAGCGGTGTGGAATAAAGGTAAATTATGTGAAAAATAATGCGTTTTTTTTTTTTTTTAAACGAAGCATTAACACGTGTTAGACTGCACCCTATAAACACAATCAAGCCTAGAAAAAAACCAGTGAACCACCCCTTTAAAAACAACTTTATTTTTCGCTCGAGTTTGGATGAATATGCAACAAAAATAATACTGTTGTTCAAAATCTGTGGCATTTTAGCATCTCCCTGTTGTGTGCAGCGGTGTAAAGCTTGCTCTCTTGTTTCTGCTAGGTAACATGCTGCCAGTGTTTTGTGTGGTGGAGCACTATGAGAGCCCCATCGAGTTTGACAGCAAAGAGGAACATGCTGAGTTCGTTCTGGTCAGGAAGGACATGCTCTTCAACCAGCTAATCGAGATGGCCCTGCTCTCCCTGGGCTACTCGCACAGTTCGGCTGCACAGGCTAAAGGTACGGCGCGTTTATACCGTCCAAAACATGGCATACAGACAAATGGTGCACAGCGTTACCTGTTTCTCCAGAACGTGCATGTTTTTTTTTTTTTGCTGTTAGATCAGACTCATGAGTCATAAAATGCTGGGCAGATGCTCGGATATTTTTGGAGGCTAAACAGAGATATTTTTGGAGTGATTTGTTGGCTGTGTTCTGGTGCATGCATGCTTCTGCCCAGGCTGACCTGATGCCGAGGTCAGGGGGATTGTGGGTAGAGGCAGGAACACACAGGTGCACCTCCTGCTCTCTGTAATCACACTTTTCTCAATGGGAACGAGTGTGGAGGTGGGCCTGCGGTTTCTAATTGCTCGCTTTATGGAGGTGGGGGCTATTTTAAGAGCTGTAGCCTTCAGCCTGTAATTTATTGCAGGCTGTCCATCATAATTCCTTTTTTCTTTGGATCTTCTGGATCTTGTTTTTTTTTCTGTTACTCATTTAGTGTCAGTCGACAGACAACATATGGTCGAGCAATTGTTTTTTTTTAAAGAATGCCTTTTTGCAAACCTGTATAAAAAATACCATGGTATTACCATAAAAATAAACTTTAGAAAGACCATGGCTGTGTTTCAAAACCTTGTAGGCAGCAAGTAAACATACAAATGTATCATACAAATAGAGCTGTTCACAAAAGGCTCGCCGATTGATTTCAGTATTGAGTTTGGCATTATAATGTGGTTAGGTTAATGTGATGTTCATAAATCAGAACTGCTCAAATGTTAAGAAATTAATATCTTTATTCAACAAGGATGCATTAAGTTGATAAAGTGACAAAGACATGTATAATGTTTAGGGATGCACCGAAATTAAAATTCTTGGCCAAAGCCAAACAAAATGAAACACTGGGCCGAAGGCCGAATACCGAACACGGTTTTTCACATTTTTCCCCCCATGTAGGCCTATTTTGCCATTTTTAAGCACAATTTAACTTAAAATGAATAAGTTGGTAAAATAATATTTTTGGGTCATTTTTGAGACATGAATCGGGCATGTATTTTTTACTGTACAAATAAAGGCAGCCTTCCTGAGCAGAAGAGAATTCTTTTAAAACATTAGAATATATTACAGATCCCAATTTGAACACTATGTGTGAATGTTATAATAAATGTATTAATAGAGCTGTTGTAGGGGTTTATTATTATTATTATTATTATTATTATTATTATTGTCTTATTTTATTTTACAGAACGACAGTAAAATTACAATATTATCAATTATGAATGTCGATGAGTTGTTGCTTTTGCTCTGCTTTTATTTTGGCCGCAGGATCATCCGCAGGAAGATCTCAGTGCTTCTTTTTGTTGACAAGAGCATGCAGATTTATAAAATATTCTCATTACGAATTTGGGAAGATGTTTGTCGCACGTATCACATTGTTACATGCCTTTAAAGTCCGCGCGAACCGGAAGTTGCTGCCGACTTTATTTCAGTGTAGTGACGTATTTCCAGCTGAAACGGAATATTGAATAGAGGGCGTCGTTTTATGTTTGTGCTCCTCCTCTCTGTCTCTCACTCATAGCA